CCAGAGATTGAAATGTGCAGTACAGAGAGCTGGATAAAGTGATTTTACATGTAAGTGTGGAATAAATTTATATCTTTTTATGAAATCTGCCTGATTGAGCCTTCTCTTTGTCCATATGAGGAATACCCCGGGATAAGAGTGATGGAGGAATGGCTTTCCTATCTAACAGTATATGCCTGAATATACCATAAGAGGGTAATGGTATTTAGCATCTACTTTGGCTGGAGTGTATAGGATATTGGTACCTAGTATCACTATTCACCTGAGATTGGAGTGATCACGAGTTCTCACGTTTATTTTGATTTATTGATTTTTTCACTATTTTTGGTGTGATTTGAGTTTTGCACAGTGTGAAGCATATATATATATGTTTGAGGATATTACACTATGATATATTTTTCTTTTTACTTTTGAGGATAACAAAGGCATTTTTGGAGTATCGTCTTGCTTCACTGAACACATAAAGAACGTTTTTGTTTTCTTGGGATTTTTGGACATTTATTTATTTATATTACATACCTTTTTGGCGATTTGGACACTTATTATTATTATTATTAATTTTTGGTGATTTGGACACTTTTATATATATATTTTATTTTATTTTATTTTTGTAATTTTGATTGTTATATTTGATGATTTTGAATATATATTAGAGGATTTATTATTCTAATTCAGATTTGATCATCACCTTTTGAATTATGTGGGTTTATTGAAATTTTGAGATAGATTGGGATTATTGGTAAGTTTATCACAAAAAGTACATTTATTAGTTTATTCACTTCCTAGGGAGGAGGTAGTGTTTTGTGGTTGTATAGGAGCTTTTTGATTAAAAGGGAAGGAGGCCTTTGCAAGGGCTCCTCTTTACATCTGAGTGAAGTAATGTTTGTAATAGCGTGTAAACCCGGATTCATAGTCTAGTCTAGGGCTTAAAATTTCACATCCTGAGCTACTAGCCAGGCCTTAAGAGTTACTTGCCACCAACAAACACACACAAACAGAGACACCTGTATACACTCACAGAAACATGTACACACACGCACAGAGACACATGTACATACATACACATACACACACACAGGCACGTACAGACACTCATACACACAGATACATGTACATACACAGAAATACACACAGACATGTACATACATACACATGTATAAACACATGTACATGCATACACAGACACACACAAACACATTTACACACACACATGCAGTTAAGTGCTCTCTCCCCTGAAGCCACCACTGGCTGGCATAGAGGATCATGTGACCAGGTAGACAATTAGGTAGACACACACACCTATAAAAAGTTGCAGTACTTCATTGTTTACTCACAGAGCCGGGTACTGCACTCTAGGGGGAGGCAGCGAGCACAGCACACACGGCTTCCTTTGCTTTCACTGCTCTCAGCTATTGAGCAGTCTGACGGCTCCCAGTGCGAATGACAGATTCGGTCTGAGCTCCGAGCCTGCTCAGCAAGACGGACCCTGGGAGACACACTCACCCCCACCATAATTTCCACTCGCCATTGGCGAGCAGGCGAGTGGAAATTTCAAGGCCTGGTCTAGTCGCCATAGGGCCGTACCACCGGGTATGGGCGATCGTCCCTGGCTGGGAGCACCCATGGAAGTAGGTTGATGGATTTTGGGGAACTATGCAAGCCAGCCGAATGGGTGTATAGTACCAGCAGTGTATAACCTTATAGGTGTTTTCTAGGGTGGTTACATTTCTGGAACTTTGAAGCATTATTTGCCAGTTCTCTGATGCCAGCTCCGCTGCTAGTTTGCACTTCAGTGTTGCTAAAAGGGGTGCATTGAAGGTTTCCTAGAGGAAACAATCGAAGAGTATATCAAAGAGATTATACCCGTGGAATGTGGATGTGACCTGCATATGCTTTTGAAAGCTAAAAGTAGGTAGGGTGTCAGATGAGACCTATGTAGCTTCTGAATAAAATGACAGAGCTGAAGTTAGAGGATATGTTCTAGCAGCAGTATCTCATGCGACGATCGGAGCTCATTAAACATCATGATCCTAGTTGGGGTGAGCAATGAATGTGCTTTCAAGAACCCACGTTCTGTTCGCCAACTAAACTGGCACAGGTTTTCCATACCAGGGGGAAGCAGTGGGCAGCGTAAAAAAATGCAACGGGTAAATGGGGCGAGATCATGCCTGCCGAGTATTTAATAGAGTCCCAAAGGAAAAATTTATGTGATAAAGTCAAACTGAGATTTCAATACGCATGTGAATAAATGCGAGACATTATTACTCCCCACTCTCTATCTTCTGTGTTTAGAAAGCTATACAGAGTTTTTTAATCAAAGAGTCTGAAAGCAAATAACTTGAGTTGTTCCTTCACTTTAACCACTTCCAGACCGGACACTTTTACCCCCTTCCTGACCAGGGCAATTTTCAGCTTTTAGCGCTATCACACTTTGAATGACAATTGCGCGGTCATGCAACACTGTACCCAAATGAATTTTTTACCATTTTTTTGAGATAGATAAAGCTTTATTTTGGTGGTATTTATTCACCACTGGGATTTGTATTTTTTTTGCTATGTAAATGAAATGTCCAAAAAATTTGAAAAAAAGTTTTTTTTTAATAAAATTTTGCAAATAAATAATATTTCATCATAAATCTTAGCCAAAATTTATTCCGTTATCTTTTTAGTAAAAAAAAAAAAATCCAAATTAGTTTATAAGCAAAAATTATAATTTTTAAACATTTTTTTTTACATTTTTATTTTATTTTTTTATATTATTATTTTTTATTTTTATTTTTTTTTTTTACATACTGTCACCCTAGCAGTACAGTGTCACCATGGTGACACTGTACTACTTGTGAGGGGTGATGAAGATTTTTTTTTTTTTTACACCGATTGCTTTTACACTCATATAGGATGTAAAAGCAATCATTTCTCTTTCTCTCTGTGTGCATTCTTGCACTCATTGAGAAGAACTGAGTGAGCTGTGATTGGTCACAGCTTGTCACATGGTACAAGGCTTTTGTGAATAGCCTTGTACCATGTGACCTCTGTGATCATTCACAGATTTCACACATAGTAAGCAATGATGTCACAAGTGACATCTTGCTTACTACTTTGCATGTGATCACTGATTGGCCAATCAGTGATCACATGATCGGGACCTCGTACAGAGGTCCCCCGCCCCCCCCCCCCCCCCCCTCCCCCCCCCCCCGCCCCCCCCCCCCCCCCCCCCCCCCCCCCCCCCGCCCCCCACCGTCCGACGATCGGTGTTTCACTGTGTCCGGAGGACACAGCGGGCACCGGATCGCGGTGCTGCTGCACGCTCCCAGGGAGCGCGCACAAGCAGGGTGCGGGGAGGCCGTTTATAGACGGCCACCCGACCCTGCAGTGCCACCGTCCGGCCGTTTATATACAACGGCCGGTCGGGAAGTGGTTAAAAAGAATCCTCAGTGATGCCAGTGTCACAGGTGTACCCAATATTAACCCCTTCACACCTAAGGGTAAAACAAATCTTAATGCCTAAGCACAATTTTGCGACATTGACATGTTTTAGTAAAATCGTCCATAACATCACAACTACTCTGTACATCCAGGTGAATTATACCGCGTTTTTTTTTTTTTTTTTTCTTCAGAACAAATTGGTCTTTCATTTGGTGGTGAATGGTAATGGATACCTCTTAATTTTTTATTGGCAAAGGAAAATTGGCCCAAAATAGTAAAAAAAAAAATCATTTGTTTTTTAATTTAGCTGTGTGTTTCTTGTTACTACCATTACCTATCAGCAAAGAACAACCCAAAATCAATTTTATAGCTCTTGACAATCGCAGCTATACCATATATGTGTATGGTATTTGTTATTTGTATCTGTACTACAGCCCAGAAACAATAGTGCAGATTTTTTTTTTTTTTTTCACCTAAAACACAGACACTAATACCAATTAAAAAAATAAAATAAATCCTGACTTTGACCCTTGACCCAAACACTAACCCTGGCACTGAACTAGATCAATACTATTTACCAAAATGTGCCACGCTTCACTTATAAATGCTCAAAATAAATGATATATGCATACAAATTGATACTATCTATATCAAAGAGATATGAAAATAAGGTAAGTGAATCAACCAATATCAATATGCCAGAATCCGTGTCCATATAATCAAAAACAGGCGAGAAAAAAAAAAAGTCCATCTATGAACTTCTTCAAACTGGCTAAGTTCACTCTAGAATAGGATATCGCGTGCCTCTTAATTGATTTTTTTTGTGTGAAAAGAACTTTCATTTGTGTGCTCCCCCACCGGGTGTGCTCTCACCTCCAGTATATGACCAAACCGTTAAGTAAAGTCATATAACGCTTGTGTCCCTTTAAATGGGCCAGAGTATGGACGGGATGGTATCTTGCTGTTTGGGGTCCTTCTACACTCAATCGATGGGCTCCCCTCTTGCTGCAGTGCTTTTCGTACCCTGATTCCTTTCACATGTATGGTTAGGCCGTGCTCACCTATCTCTCACCTGATCTATTTCAACTGAACTAGATCAAACCTTGATCTAGGTATTAATATTTATTTATATATTTTTTTTTTTTCAAACAGAGAGAGACTCTCTTTTCCATTAAGAGAGAAAAAAAAAACAAGGGTTGGTGGGCTTCACAGTAACTGATCACTGTGATAGCCAATCAGAGGCGATCATGTGACCCGGAATCGGGGGTCCCAATCATTAGAACAGGACCCGCACTCCCAGCACAAAGACAGGTACGCAAATATGCAGCCACACAGAAAAAAAAAAGCCCAGTTCTGTGAGGCCGCATATTTGTGTTACGTCGGCATGAAGGGGTTAAAACTGAAGTTTAATCTGTTCATATTTCAACATGCTAATGACATTTTTGAATAAAACCTTTCCATTTTTAATGCAAATCTTATTCTAAAACCTGTGTCAGCACTGGGTATCTTTGCTTCTCTATGCATTGCAACCAGATCATTATTGTTGTAAATTTTTTTTTCTTTTGCCTTTGCAGTGACCAGAAAATTTGCCGTCTCTTGCTCCAGGCGCAGTATCCAGTGGTTGCCGTAGACAGCTTTGTGCCGGTTGTTGATGTCTTCAGCGGAACTGAGCGAGGGAGGCTCAGGGTGTTACTTGCCATGGGGTCAGGTGACCAAGTTGTGGCTCTTCAGAGGTTGAAGAATGATGAGGGAACTTTGTTAGCCCCTCTGCCCAGACCAGCACATTTCCTTGACCCTCCTCAGCCAACTGCAGAGGTACAAAGCAGAGAAGTTCCCATTAATCTCTGTTCTGGCTTTCTCTGATTGGTATTTAGTATCCTAGCATGCACTGACATACGTTATATACATATTCATTGGTGCCATATGTGTGTATATTGTGTATGTGTCTATACAGTGTATAATATACACAAAGGGTGAATCCGCAGCTGTAGTTTAGTGCCTGCAAAAGGCTCGATCCTATAGGAAACCACCTCAAGAGTTTGCAGCACACAGTGTAGATTTTATTACGTTTCTGCTGTATATACTTGTTTTTCAAAACAGTTTAAATACTCAAAAAATAAAAAAAAAAAACTTCAGTCAAATCCATGTTTGCTGTCACTACCCTCCACCCTAAAGTGTGTGTGTGTGTGTGTGTGTGTGTGTGTGTGTGTGTGTGTGTGTGTGTGTATATATAGATAGATAGATAGATAGATAGATAGAGAGAGAACAAAAAAAAAAAAAAAAAACACTTTCTCTTTAGTTTTAGATAGAGTGGGGAGGTTTTTATTGCTTTTTGTGACTCTGTTGGGGAGATTCACGCTCTCAATTAGTCCTGGTCACTATTGTCACCAGAATAGACAGTGATGGGAAATTCAAACTCTTACAGTGGCCTCCAGATTGAAAGTGAAGTGGAAATCTTCCATTGTGACATTTTGTCCAATGACAACTGTCTAAGAGGGATTTCTCATCACTTTTGTAGAATTTTCCTCTTACTTCCTATTGCATCTCCAAGAACATACACAGTTTCTGATGCTTACCTGGATGGTAGGTTGGTCTGGATACAGTTGTGGTATAAATTCCATGCACCACTCAGATTTTTTTTTTTTTTTTATAAGCAGGGTCTGAAGGGGTGAGTCTCTCGCTTACTTCTGGTATGTCATGGGGTCTCCAGCAGCATGATCACCCTCACCTTGGTTTTCTCACTTCTAACTGTAAAGTTTTACTTTTCGTGCATTGCATTCCTCTTAAGATCCATCAACCCTGTGTATTTGATGGGTGTTATGCCCGGTACACACAATGAGAATATCGGATGAATGGGCTTCCGTTTTTTTTTTTTTTCTAGTCTCATATCGAAAAACGCAGAGGTTACTTGTTACAAAAATTCTTATACAACAGAATGCTACTTCGGAAGTGATGTAATGTATTGAAATGTATTCTTTTGTTTCCAAGCATGGGTGCTCTTGTTCTCTCCATTTTTTGCGGACGAATACTGTACTGAATGAAATGAAAATCATTCGCTCTGTTATCGTACAAGAAAAATGTTTGTGCTTGTCTCTTCGGATATTGTTGCATGAACTGTCATGATCGTCTGTCAAAAGCTGTGTACTAATGATCAGATTATCATACGATCCCTCCAAAAGCAATTTTTTTTTTTCATCCGATATTCTCATGTATACGGGGCATTAGACAGACCAGGGGACATTGAGACAAACAAAGCAATAAGAACATTTTCTATTAGAGTGCGGATGAGTTAGACTTCCTCTCAGGATTCAACTGCTGTCTGTGTCCCTATGTGGGAGATTTTCTGAACTTCCCGTCCAGGTGAGGAATGTCAGAACATGAAGTGAGGAATAATTTCCTCCATGGGAACACAGATGGCTGGATGTAAACAAACAATGGAGCCCCGGTTATCAGATCAAGGCCTATATGCATCTATGGAGGGGAGGGTGGTTTTGGTTAGTTCAGGGGACAGATGCAAAATGGAAAAATGCACTTTATATTTAAGTGCAATTATCCTTTAAAATCTGGCACAGAAGTCTCGTAGATGACAGAAGTTTTCTTCCCTTTTCAGAACTGGGAAGTTTGCGGTGCACGTGCACTATTTGCAGTAATACAGAGTAATCTCAGACAAAGTTCGAGACTATTAATGAAATGGCAGGAGAACCGATCAATGCTTTCCTTGCATAACCGTATATCAGTAACATCCTCTGTGTTCTGTCCTCCTCCCAGGTGTCTAGAGCTGCCGAGAGTATGGTTGATCATGTGTTTGACATCAACGTAGAGAACGTGAAGGGTCTGACCCCTCTGCAGTCTACCGTGTGGGGAGAAGCGGACTGCTATGTGCAGTATTACTTCCCTGTGCAAACCCCGGTCACCGGATTAGAAGCTGAACTGCCAGAGAGAGGTATGTTAACTGCAAACACATTCCTTTATTATGCTGTACCAGCTGACAACGAGGATTTAAAGCTAACCTTCCATTACAGTGAAAATCCAAACCTATCCACCCTGCTCTGTGCTAGATACCATCTGGAGTTTACCCTTCGCTCCTCTACCTGCTGCCCCATCCCTGATGCTGAAAGGTCGCTGGCAATCGCAGACTATAATCAGCCAAAAAAAAAAATGTAACCCTCACACCACAAATTCAGCCGGTTCAAAGTAACCTCATTCTTCCAGCATCGAGGACACTCCACTCGCAGCTTCTGCTGTAGTACAATTCATTCCCTTCTGGCTGTTAGTCGTAAAATCTAGAATGGTAGGTTCTATGACTAAGTTCCAGCAGGGGTGAAATGCATCGGTAATATAGCTGTGAATGGAGTGTTTGCAGTGTTGCTGCTGAACAAATAAAGTTACTTTGGACAGGATGGACTTGGTATGCAGCTTCACATGTTTTATGGTGTATATGAGTTGGGAAGTGACACATAGCGGAGGCCGCTATCATGAGACTTTGGAGCAATATCTTGGACTTGTTGGTACTTGTATGCTACATTCCGGCCCCAAGCATTGCATTATGGGAGCAAACGGGACTGTATTTGTTTCTCCAGAAACAGCAGGATTTTAAGCTGGTCAGAGAGGCAGGTTCGCTGAGAGGCTGAACCAAGTGCCGCTCCAGATTCTGGGGTAGATCCCAAGTTTGAAGTCGAGATCTTTCCCCAGCCTGGACTGGCTTAGTGTCATCAGCCAACAGCAGGCTTTAGCCCATTGTCAGCTGAAAACGGGTCACAGGAGTGCAGAATGAACTGCAGTCCTATGATCCACTGAAGAAGTACAGCCAACACAGGTTTGCTTTGAAGGAAAAAAACTAATTTTGATGTGCATGTTCCCTGTGTTACTTAAATTATAAAGAGATCACCAGTGGCACAAAGGTATTGCCTGCACCCCACAGGATCCAGCCTGCTGATGCCCTCTTTTACACTGTAGCAGTATGAGGGGCAGTTACACTGGCTGCTCAGAGGCAGTCCATCAGTACCTCTCTTTTTTTCTGTTTCAATATTTTTGTTAAGAAAGTTTTGTTTTAGGAACACAACAAGCTCAATATACGCCCATGCAGGGGCCGAGCATAACAATAACTCAGAAACAGACACATCCTGCTGACTTGTATTAGCCAAATAACAAAATGTCCAAAGACAGCAAGGAAGGACGGCAAAAAGCCGAACCAAATATTATCAGCAGTAGTCCAACATAATACTGGAAAGAGAAGAGGAAAGAAAAAAGGTTAGAAGAAAGGAAAGAAAATAAAAGTGCTAAAAAAACAAAAAAAAAAAAAAAGGGGAATCCGAAAGAAAACATAAAGGAAAGGGAGACTAGGAGAATCAAGGATCCAGGGCTAGCACAGGCAGTAACTATAAGAGGCCATAACTAGTAGGGGGCATGGATGGCAAGGAATATCCTATCCAAGGTTCCCAAACCATAAGGAATCTCTGATGAGAATCATGAAGAATGCTAGACATCTGTTCATTGATCAACATATCATTCATCCGGGTCTTCACCCCTTGGAAGACAACCGAAGGGAGTACCTCTCTTTTTTGACACCATTTGCCTCTGCTGTGGCACATATGTAACCATTTTGTGTGGCATGCAGCACTGTTAGCTGCATTTAAAATTATTATTTTTTATTTTTACCCGAAAGCCTGCTTTATTATGAATTCTGCATTCTAAAAAGAGCAGACAGACTTTGTTTCTGTCAAGATGCATCTCTAAGTGTGACTGATCAAGGCTCTTATTTAGTATAATTTATTATGGGCATTTATATAGTGGCCTTAGTTTTAGCAGCGTTTTACACACTATGCATTCCCACTGGTCCCTGCCTTCAAGGAGCTTACAGTCTAAGGTTCCTATCTCGCGTTCATGCATATACTGGAGCATTCTATACAGGAAACAACCTGCCAGTTCGTCTATGCAGTGTAGGAGGAAACTGAAGTACCAAGAGGAAACCCATGCGAAGGCAGAGAGAACACACAGGGCTGGCTGGGATTCAGACTGAAGTCCCCAGTGCTTTTTGCTTGAACACTGAGATGGTGGTAGCCAGGGTGACCAAGCCAAGAAATTCTGAAAGTTTATGTGGTCAAGTATAACTATGGGGGAGATGTACTGAAACTGGTGCACACAGAATCTGGTGCTGCCGTGCATAGTAGCCAATGAGCTAGGTGTTATTGTCAAAGACATCCAAAAGTGGAAGCTCCACTTATCTGCCTCCTCCCTTCTCCTCTGTTACATTTGGCACTTTTTTGGGAGGAATGGGTACCTGTTTTTGACAGGTAGCCACTCCCAGTTCTAGCTTAGTTGACCATGGCGAACTGTGCTGATAGTTCGACTTTCCTTCGCCCCCCTGCAACCCTCTGGGAAACTCAACAGGTACCAGAGGACTGCATCTCATTCACAGAGCGCAATGTGCTTCACGCATGTGCAGTAGGAAACCAGCTGCCCATTTCCCTTAGTCAAGCAGCTACAGTATTTGTCGTTTTTATGGTTTTTTTTTTTTTTTCTGGCGGGGGGCCAGAACTCCACTTTAATTGAACAAGCTGAAGTAAGAAGCTGATTGGTTAGGGTCCATGCAGACTGGCTTAAACGAAGCTTAACCTCTTCACGCCGGCCGAACACAAATGTGCGGCCTCCCGGCATCTGGGCCTAGACGCCGAGCAGCCGCACATTTGCGTGCAATTAACAAAAAACATATGTGCTGAGAGCTCACACCCTGCGCGCTCCCAGCACACATGTCTGGTACTCACGGAAAGGTCCCGGTCTGCTCTCTCGATCGGGACCTTTCCCGATCATGACCTTTCCCGATCATGTGACCGCCGTGATGACAGTCACATGATCCCTAAACCCCGTCCCGCCTCCTGCCTTCTGAAACTCATAAAGGGCCGGGAGGCGCTGGCGGGAAGGGGTTAATGTTGTCCTGTGTGTCCATACACATTGTCCTGTGTGTCCATACACATTAGAATGTTTAGAGGCATATTTTAAGCTCAGTGTTTTAGAGGCAGAAAAAACCCTTCGATTTTGCATTTTTGAGAGCAGTTTTCTGGCAGAAAAAGGTCGTCCGTTGATGGATGAAAAATGGACAGCGATGTATTTCTATTGACCAACAGATTTGAATGGATGATCATCTGTTTACCATCCTTTTACATCCGTGTCCGTTCTAGTCCTTTTTTTTTTTTTCAAACGGACATGGGTACATCCAAATCCATTGAAATGGAATGGAACAGATGTAAACGGATGACATCTGTTTAATTTATGTCCATTTTTTAGGCAAGAAAATTTTTTAAAAACAAAAATGTGCTAAAAACGCATGCAACCAATGCACATTACCCAGCGCTTATGTAAAAATGGTGAATACAACTAAGCTTTAGACCTAGCTACTTTAATCACTTTACAACCGGGCTATAGCTGAATGACCGCTACAGCGCGGTTGTATAGTTCTGGGAGGGCGTCGTATGACATCCTCCCAGAACGCGCCCTCCTGCACTCCCCCCAGCGGCGCGCACCCAGCGATCTCTGTGATCGCTGTGTCCTACGGACACAGCTGATCACGTGATGTGGTAAAAGGCCAATCACAGCAGCCGATTGTCCAATGACACAGCAGATCACTGGGTAAATGCAGTTGCCGATTGTCGGCTGCACTTTCCGCATGCTGTCACAGCGTGAGGAAAGTACTGCTGATAACCGGCAATTGCCAGAAAACAGATCGGCACTGATCATCAGTGCCACCTGTTGTGGCCCTCCCTGGGAGGAGGAAGGTTCATATGGACAGTTATATCTCCAGTGATCCTGTCCTCCACAGTTAAAACATCCAGTTCTTCCAGGGATTTGGCGGGGTTCAGAGTTACTTCTTCCCCTGCCAAATCCTCCCTTACCTCTGCCTCTATACCACCCTCTTCCTCTTTGTCCTTGCCCTTGATTTCCCTGTTGTGAGTCACTTTGGAAATTACTACTATTAACCTTCTCTTTTCTTACAATATCTAAACATCCCGCTGCCTCCTTCTCGTGAAGAGAGGTCTGAAACTCAACAACAGTTTTAGTTGCCCAGTCAGAGACCTGCTGCTTCACGGCTAATCCTGCTTCTGGTTTAAGACCTGTTATGAATGTCTGAATCATCAATGGACTTAACTCTCCAGTTAGAGCCAGTCCTGCTTCTTGTGTCCAGACATCCTTGAACCTTTTCCAAAATTCTAATACAGTTTCTCCTACCTTCTGTTTACATGCTGTAGCAATAGGGAGGGAAGCCTTATTCTTGAAAACCCTTTTTAATTCTGTGTCAAGCTCCTCCCACATAGTTTCTCTCCCTTCTGTGGTATTCAGTTTATAGGCAGTAGCCTGTGTATTACTTGGTTCTATGTGACTAATGCTTTTTACATTTATCCAATCCCAAGCTGGATTATTTCCCAGAATACCATCAATGATCAATCTCATATCTTCCTGCGTGTAATTTCTTCCCAAACATGCCTTTTTTTAAATAAGCAAGTGTACCTCCAGGAGATACTGTAGGCTTGGGACAATGTTTAACAATCTTATTAATATCTTCTAATTCTATGGGTTTTTTTAGAATTAGTTCTCCTGCTGTGAGAAAAGGTAGTGTCAATATAGCCAACTCCTTTCCTCCTACGGCCCCCTCATCTTCTCTTTTTCCCTCTTGTTTCTTATCCATGGATCTAAGCTGCATTCTAAATTCCTCCACATCTCTGCCCTTTCTATGACTGGTGTCACTTCTTCTCCATTGACCATCCTTTTTCTGTAATTTTATTATATTTACCTGTCCCTGTTCTTCGTATTCCAACTCTCCTTCGTTGTCATTATTTTCCGTAAGGATGCCTTGAACTTGGCTACCCTCTTTGTCTGGTGATTTTATACTAATAATCTGTTTGGGTCTAGTGGAGGGGCCTGGCTGTATTGGTTGTAGATCCGGGACTG